GAATTCCATGATACAACAAATTCAGCAACTAGGGTAGAATTTGCCTTAGCCCATGGCAGCACAACAGATAGCAGCTTAACCAATGATTCTGCATTCTCATGGGAGTGTGCCAGAGATTCTGGCGAGAACAGGATCAATTCTGTACTTTTGTTGCTCAGTGTGAGATGTTTATGGCAGGCAGATTAGTGGAGTTTTCCATTGATCGCACCAAAGTAACTTCGTGCTGAGCTTGCTGAAGGAAACAGTAGCCAAGTAGGCGATACTATTAACTCAGGGGAACAATCCAAATGCAGAACCACTATCAAGACTTCTTCTATACCCAAGAGACACTTTAAGGATATCATACAGAGAATCACAGAGGGCTGACCGATGACCTGAGAGTTGAGTTGATGAGACAAATTATCCTGGAAGAGCTCTATTACCTTTGCATAATTATAGATGCCCAACTGGAAGAGTGGAGGCAAGGAAGAAATGGAAAAGAAAAAAGAACATACAGCCTGTCTTCCCCATAGTACCTCCCATAGTATGGGAGAACCCATACAAATCAGAGCAGCTAGATGAACCCTTACATTGAAAGGGACAATACAATAAGATGCAAAACTTTATATTTGTGGAGCATGAAGCCATCAAATGCCCAGCTCAGTCCCGGACAGTACCTTGAGACAATTTTACCAGCCTCCCATCCCCAGAGACCTGAACAGAGGCCATCCAATATTTTAGGACAGCTCAGGCAGATAAGAAAAGGCAAATTTTCTTAAATTACTCCTGCTATTATTACTTTAGTTCCAGGCTTTCAGCTCTTGTAAACTCTGGCAGCTACTAATTTTATTGATATAGAAACAGTACAGAAACTCGCCTACTCAAGGCCTAGAATGTCCAATGACTATTGAAACTATTGACAGTCAGGACAGGTCCTATACCACACAGTTCCTTTGCAACCAGTTACTGAAAGCAGAAATTCACATAATTTTGCCATATACAAAAATGCAACTTTTGGTCATTCTTCTCAATAATGAGCAAGTGTAATGCTTTTGATTCATTTGTTTAATTGCATTTTCTTTAGTTTTAGGACTTGGGTGGAGAACAGATCACATTTTGTATAATTTAAATGTAAATCTATCTTGTAAACTTTTAAATTTTAACTATCTTTTCAATTTTCAATTTAATTTTAAATATCGCCTTAGATGGAAAGTCCACCATTTCACAAGACAGTCTATGGGTGAAGAACTAACAGCATTAAGAAATATTTCATAATGTTCAACTGAAATCTATTCCTTTATGATTTAAATCCATGATTTCTTTGCCCGTCTGCTGGAACAACTCTGAACAATTGTTCCTTTTTCTATATGACAATTCTTCAAATTTCTGAAGGTCACTATTGTGTTTCCACACAGTAGTTTGTTCTCCAGTTTAAACATGTCCAATGCATCCAACCATCTCATATCATATTGGTTGTTGTCTTCAAGACATGTTCCAGTTTGCCAATTCTTTCCTAAAATCTGATGCCAAGAACTGAAGGCAATTTTCTAAATGTGATGTGACCAACACAGAATAGGGAGGAACAATTGTTTCTCTGATCTTATATTCTACTTTTGTATAGGATTGCATTTGCTTTTTTACAGTTGAATCATAGTGTTGGCTCAAGTTTAATTTTTAATTCACAAGGACACCTGATTATTTTTGCATGTTATTCAGTAAGGTTCCCCCACCCAAACGTTTGATTTATTCTATCCAAATAAATTTTGGATGATTTTTCAATTGTCTCCATCAAAATTGACCTTGCTGTTTCTAGATCATTGTTCTAGCTTGTCAAGGTCTTCTTGAATGTTAACATTGTCCTCTAAGATATGTTCTATTCCTGGTACTTTTATATTGACTAGCCATATTTTATAACCTTATTTTTTAATTCTCTTTTCTAAGTCATGTATAAATCTATTCAACAGCATAGGGCTTAAAATAAGAACTCTGATGTACCAGTCAACATTTCCAATTTGATGTTGAGCAATTGACATATACCTAATAGATATGATTGCTGAGTCTACTGTACTAATTATAGTATAATCCAGCCCACATTTTGTCCTTTTCTCTACCAGTATGTAATTGGATTCTTAACTGAATGCTTTGCTGAAGTTAAGGTATACAATATCCACCACATTCCCGTGGTCAGCTAAACTAATTGTTGATCACAGAAAAGTGGATCATGTTGGTTTAGCTATGATATACATTCTCCTAAAAATACCTTTCTCCTAAAAATATCGCATCTGTGTATAGCCACAGATCATATCTACACAAATATTGCTGATGATTACTTAAAGAACCTGTGCAGTCTGTCTTGTTATAGTCTTTTGCAAATATATAACTGTTTTTTTTTTTAAATCTTAGAGCTGTTTGGTTTTAAGAACTATATAAAAGTAAAAGTATAACACATTCCAAGCCATGACTAATGCTGTTACATCTATAGGTTTGTTTAAGAAAACTCCAGTATGAAATAAAGTATAATAAGGAAAGTAGCAGAATTTTTCTAGCCATCCACCATATCTTATACACAAGACATGAATCTTCCCCATGTACTAGAGAAAAACAAGGTTGTCCAACTGAGGGCAACAAAATCTCCTTTTAAAAAAATATTATAATATACACACAACTTGTGTTATTGGAAAAGCAATGAAATAACGGAAATGGCAAAAAAAATATTGGTGAGCTGTTTAAAGCAATAACGGATATTTAGGAATGGTGTGTTTGACAGTCTTATAATGCTATTAATGTCCAGTAAATATCTGTGCAACAAAAACAGCTCCTTTTTACTTGTGAATTGTCTGTTAATAGAACGCCATATTTATTCAGAGAAAAATGGGTTTTATTTAATCACTATTTCTCAGTAGATTCATAATACCTGTGGAATATATGTGGAAGAAAATGAGCTTTTAGAAAAGCCCAGAGAAGATTTAACTATTTAACTATACTAATATTAAAAAAAGTCTTGGAATTGCAATTACATAGCTAAGAAATTATTATGAAGACTTAATTATTTTTAATAGGGTTGCCAGGTGTCCACTATTTGAGCGGACAGTCCACTTTTTTCACATTATGTTCACTATTTTTTTTCACAAAATAGTGGACATTTTTTTTATTCAAAAGCTTTATGATGAAATGGTACGTAATCTAAAGCTGTACAGTCTAAGAGAATAAGGATAGGAGAATCGCGTTTTGTCTTTTTTTTCATAAGTTAGAATGAGACAAAGATCAAATGCTCATTGCAATAATCACATTTTACACAACAGCACAAAAAATGCATTAAAGCAGTTATCTTTTGATATCGAAAATGTAGTGCTGAAGGTTTTTACCGAATTTTTGAATTCTGCGAAGAAACGAGAAGAGTTGGAATCATTTTTTGAGTTTTGCGAGTCAGAATTCCATGAAGTTTTGCGCCATGTTCCAGCACGTTGGTTAAGTTTGTTTAAAGCGGTCGAAAGACTTCTTTTAAACTGGATACCTCTAAAATCGTATTTTATTTCTCTTGGATCTGATGAGTGCCATAAGGTTATCTGGAACCTTATTTCGGATCAGGAAAATGAACTCGCAAAGGACGATGAACCAACAATTTCAGAATTGTATTTATATTTCACGCACTTCTTCATGTCAATAATGCAAGACACCCTACTGAATCTGGAAAGCAAGAAAATTCTTGCATGTGATCTTCACATTATCATGTGTAAGCTGCGTGATTCTTTGCAAAAAAAATACGATGAGCAGTTTTTTGGAATGAAAGTTTTATTTGCCTTACATAAAAAACATTTGCCTGAGAATGCCGTGCAAAAGTTCAAGAAAGAAGCCATCAACGTGTATCAAAGAGCCATTGCGTACCTAGAAAAGTGGTATAATTTCACGGATTCAGCTAAATTGTTTCAATCTAATTGATCGCAATAATCCTCCAACTTTAGAAGAAATGACGAACATCTGGTTATTATCACCATGGTGAGAAGAACTTCCACCCAACACTCTCTTCGATGAAATTTCTGCCTTAGAAGAAATTTATGTTCATCTGCAGGGCGATTCATCCCTTGATAAGTGGACGTACTTTTTCAAGAAAGAGCCAGCTCCGAGTTTACTGAAACTGTTCCAGTATTGTGCATCAATTCCGGTATCAAATGCAAACGTTGAACGAATTTTCAGCGTCATGGGAAATTTGTGGACTGACGAACGTAACCGACTGCTTGTATCAGTTCGAAGTGAACTTTGTATATTTTTTAATATTTCTCAACATTGTACTGAAATTAAAGAATTATTCCTTAAACACAAAGAATTGATCAAAGCTGCGCAGTCAAATAAAAAATACACACGACAGCAAAGTAAAATGTAATTTAATATTTTACATATTATTATAATATATTTGATGTTTTGAATTTTAAGTAAAGTTTTGAAGTGATTATTTTAATACATGTTAAAATGTTTGTAAGAAAATATATAATTTAATTGTAATTTTTTTTTATTTTTTTACTACTTAAACAGCCCCCCACCCCCCACCCCGTTTTCCGCTATGTTTTGGAAGCAGGCCTGGCAACCCTAATTTTTAATCAACTTTTATTAGCAAGTAACAGTCTTGGACAATGGTTTTGCTTTACATTTTAAATAATACACTGATTTCCTAGAAAGTTTGTTTATTCTACATTAAATGCATAAATATATATTAGAATGAGTAGTGGTATTGTATTTGGAAAATGAAAAAAGGCCATTTTATTAGATGTCCAGTCAAAAAAGTTGTGACAGTGATGCTCAAACAAATGAGGTGTATTATTTTTCATAAAACTACTGTTTTATGAAATTACATTTTGCTACTTTCGGAACTCTGTGTTAAGAAACAGAAATCATCCATATCTCCATAAAAATAATTGCTTCATGCAGAGTAGGAGAAATATCATGAAATATCATTTTCACATCCTTCTTTATATTTAGAATTTACAAACTAAGCTACTCTTACAAATTCTTTCTTTTTGATCCAGGTGGAGGCAGAATTGATTGATAAGCTAGACAGTTTGGTATCAGACGGAAAAGGAGATGAAAATTACAGGGAACTCTTCAGTCTGCTGTAAGTCTTATGTTTAGTATTATTAAAATTTTACATATCTATATAAAGATATTGGAAGGATGATCTAAACATAAAAAGTATGCTTAGAAATGAATAATGCATCAGAATAAATGGTTTGATAAAAATACAACAAAGGTTTTAATATAAAGCAGCAAATCCACTTTATTTAATAATTAAATAATAATTTAATAAGATTTGTTATTAATTGTATTATATTAATATGAAAGCAATTCATGATTACAATCATCTGAAATAACTGATAAATTTGATCCTTTTATAGCTTTTTGCATCTCTTAATTTGAATGCCTTCTTTTTTCTGAAAGGATGTTTGGATTTCTGTTTTTTTTTTTTCTTTACTTTCTGTTTTGAGTTGCCATTTTACAATTGGAGCTGTCCCTATGTTTTGACAAAATGAATACAGGAGTAGGGAAGAAGTCTTGCCTGATATTCCCCAATAGTTATCTCTTTGGTGTCCCTTTGGAGTGCATATTGAGTTTCTTCAGGGTATCTCTAAATATGAACTTTCAGTCTATGTTTAAAGACAGTTTACTAAATTATTTGTGAAATACATGACTTTCACTAAGATTGCACAGATGTAGTTTCAATGTAGTTTCAATGAAAGTACAAAATGAGGTTAGGCAAACAGCTCTGTATTACTATAAGAGCCCGGTTGTTATTAATTTTTAAAATAAGTATACCATGAATTCTGAAAAGAAACTGGCATTGTTCCAAAATTAACAATGAATTAAAGCAATGAATTAAAGCACGAACTGTTAAAATATTCATTATATTGCTTTGACAACCTAAATTCTTTCCTATTCATCAGAGCTTGTCAAAAGACCATACAAAGGAGTCTGTTTTTCACATGGTTTACAATTTAACTGAGATGTCTTTGCACGATTAAATACTAAAAATTTAAAATTAATATAAAAATATTAAATTTCAACAGTGGTTCAATATTAATGTCATAGATAGCACAAACCTAATGATTAATATATAAAATGTTAATAATTCTCTGAACTAAATTAATTAAATCTGAAGAGTTCACTTCTGAAAGCTCAGATTTTTTTTTTTTTAAAAAATTGTTTTACCAAAGCCGTCCTTATCTGCAGAAAATGTCAGGTCAGGCCACTACATAACCATTATTTCACAATGTAAATACACACAATATATATATAGATATACAACTTACCTTACTGAAAAACAAATTTTATACTAGAAGCAGTAAATCTATATATATAAAAGCGAAATACCACTCATGAATCATCACAAAATCTCCAGAACTATAAAGCCTACAAACTTGAAATTTGCCACGTATGTTCCTCATGGCTTCTAGGTGCTCACTAAGAAAGGATTTTTCGAAATGACCATCAAAGCATTAGTATTTCCTATATTATTATTAACACACTCTAATGCTAAGGAGTTCTACTCCCCCTCCCCAATCTGAAAAGAAATCTGTTCCAAATGCAAAGCACAAGCAGTGGAGAGGCGTTTCAGTTTTACTTTCACAGCAACAAGCAGGGGATAGGATAGGGGAGGCTTCTGTGGGGCAAGCCTGAGGGAGAGAAGGGGATAGGATAGGGGAGGCTTCTGTCAGGCAAGCCTGAGGGAGAGAAGGGGACAGGATAGGGGAGACTTCTGTGAGGCAAGCCTGAGGGAGAGAAGGGGATAGGATAGGAGAGGCCTCTGTGTGGTAAACCTGAGGGAGAGAAGAGGAGAGGCCAATTGTAACTACTCATTAATTTTCAAGCTGTAAGTATCAATTTATCAAAACCGATCACATAGTTTCGTAGCAGAGCACGGGTATTCAGCTAGTTGAACTATATTACCATGCACTGCTTTCAATTGCCGCATTCTTTAAAATATTGAACATTATGAAAAGGAAGATTGTATCTTTTTAGGGAGAAAAGACATATAACTTGTAATTAAAACCTCAAAGAAATAGTGCAAGATCAGAAGATGTGGAGAGACCAGGCCCATAGATATACCAAGAGTTGGACTCGACTGAATGGATAACATCACAATACTAATGCTCACTTTCTAACTTGAGCACCAACAGTATCACTGAGCATGGGGTGGGGAGGGGGAGGGAAATCAGCCTGATGAAAACAATCTCACAGTGTGACCCCTGCTTTTTTCTCAGCAATACGTTATTTCTACAGTAAAGGAAATATGTGTATGTATTCTGCAAATGTATATAAACTACCTACATTCATGAGTAGCAGTAGTGTAAATGCAATCTCTAGACCAGGCACAATATTTTCTTGGTATGGAATAATAATAGTGTATCATCTTAGTTCAATAATTTCCTTGTCTTTGCTTCATGCAACGTGGATCAGAACCCAGCTGTTTGGGCCTTATCCCAGGTAAGATGATTGTTCAGATTTTATATGGAAGTGTTTAGGTATTTTAAGTGTTCTCAAAACTGTTCACAATCAATAATATTTCTGAATAAGTTACTGATTGTTTACTTTCATACAGCCTGCTAGAAAAGATAGAACAAGAAACTTGGAGGGAGACAGGGGTTTCGTTTGTTACATCAGTTACTCGTTTGATGGAGCGCCTCCTTGACTACAGGTAATGCAGTTATTCACAGTTCATGAACCTATGATACATATGCAAGTAATGTTAGTAGTAACTAATGACCAACATTTTTCCCAAGTATTTTTTCATGCTTATAACAGTATATGTACATTCTGAGTATCATGAGTTGTATCCCAGTTTTTAAGGATTTTAATATGTAGTCACTTTTTTGTATTTTCACAATAAATGCCTCTCTAGTATATTACATAAATGCTATAAAAGAAAAAGAAAAAAACCCTAGAGAATTTAGACTCTTAAGGACTTATTTGATGATTTACAGAATCAGGAAGTAAATACAACTGCTAATCTTGCTAAAGCTACATAGTCAAAATTGTCGAAATACCTTTATGGATTAATTCTTCAGAACTGCCTATATTGTTTTTAATTCTGTAATGGAAGAAAGTTTTGAAATTTCAGCATATCAACTGTTTCTGTTTTTCAGAGACTGTATGAAAGGAGATGAAACAGAGAACAAGAAAATTGGCTGCACTGTTAACTTGATGGTGAGAATTACCTTTGTGACACTATAAACATCATTTTGCCACGATCAGAAACTGTTTCTTTCAATTCTTGTAATCTCATACTTGTGTCAGTGAAAGCATTTATCCTCCTTATATTCTGATGGCCTCTTTTTTATTGCTTTTGATTGTTCCAAACATTGGGGGTTTGTCCAGTGACTCTTGCCTTTGTACTGTCTGTTCAAAATATCTAAGTCTTAGCTTCATTAGTATTGTCCTGGATGAAACCCAGAACGTCTAGTAATATATCAGTAAGATGGCAACTGAAAATGAGCCACTAATGTCTGAGGCAGCAGCAGACCTGGAAGGAAGATCAAGCAGAGAAAGTGCCATGCCAAGACAATACCCTGCATTGAGATGCACCATTGACTAGTTGAGTTAGCTGACTTTGAGAAATTCTACCAGTGTCTGGAAAGGGCTGGATTACAAGACAAAACCAAGGGACTGATTACAGCAGCATAAGAACAGGCACTAAACACCAGATCCATAAAAGCAGGGATTTTCCACACTAGACAAGAACCAAAGGCAGACTGAAGAGAGGCCTCAGAGAAAGTCCAACACATAGTGGCAGGGTGCAAGATGCAGGCAGAAGCATACACTAAACCAAGTAGCTGGCATTGTGTACAGGAACTTCTGCAGAGTGTATGGGCTAGACCTCCAAAGTCCAGATGGGAGGTTCCATAGTAGGTTGTGGAGACTAACAGAGCTAAAATCTTGTGGGACTTCCAAATTCAGATGGAAGGCAGGTAATTGACCAGTCAAGTGGATAACATGGTAAAACACAAAGATCAGAAAACAGTGGATGTACAAAGTGAAATGACAGCAGAATCAGGAAGAAGGAATATGAGAAGCTGGAGAAGGGCTTGAACTAGAGAGGATGTGGAAAGTAAAGGCCAAAGTGAGGAACAGTCAAGGCTGTGATTCCTAAGATGAAAGAATGGTTCCAACAGTTCCCAGGAATAATATCAGAGCTCTCTGTCCAGAAGATTCAGTGCTAGGAAAACAGCTAAGATACTGCACAGAATACTCAAACTCCCAGGCTTCTGGTAGAAGACACAAGATTGAGGAAGACATGTGCCGTATTTTTCGGAATATAACATGCACTGGAGTATAAGACGCAGCTTAGTTTTTGGGGAGGAAAATAAGGGGGGGAGGGGAATCTGCCTACAAGGTATTCATCTGGCTAGCGTCCTTAGTCTGGTCAGCATATTAGCTTAGCTTCAGCATATTAGTTTTCTGGTTTTGAGAGTGCACGCGCTTTTTATCCCCTACTTGGGGATAAAAAACAGCTTCTAAAGCACAGCTGAGAGGGAGCAGCAATGAGAAAAGCAGGCAAAGCTCAGAAGATAGCTTCACTCGCTAGTACCTCGTTAGGGATGAAAAAAAGCTTCTAAAGCACAGCTGAGAGTCGGAGGGAGCAGGCAAAGCTCGGAAGATCGCTTCACTTGCTAGCACCTCATTAGGGCTGAAAAAAAGCTTCGAAAAAGCTACATTCGGAGTATAAGACACACCCAAATTTTCAGCCTCTTTTGGGGGGGGGAGTGCGATATATACTCCGAAAAATACAGTATTCCCCATAGAAGTGAGAAGGGATTTTTAAAAAATATAACGATTCAGGAATCAGGCTAGAAACTGGAATGCTGTGAGTTGTAATCCTGCCTTGGGCACAAAGCCAGCTGGATGATCTTAGATCAGCCATTTTCTCTGAGCCCTAGGAAGGAGACAGTGACAACCCACTTTTGAAAAACCTTGTCAAGAAAACTAGATGGACTTATGCAGGCACTCTCCAATGGATTAAATGAAAGAAAGAAAAAAAAGAATCCCCTAAAACCAATATACATTTTTTATTTGTCCTGATTTAAATAAAAATAGAATGGCATCATTTTCAACTTTTAAGTACATTTCTTGAGGAGGACATAAAGACATAATATCAGGCCATTATTTGTTTTGCACTTAAATGTTACCTGTATTAGTAGATCATTGAATCTTCCAAGATCTAATTTGTATTTCAAATAATCCTAATTTGTAAATAAAATATGATGTAATAAACAAAATTAAGATGTAATACAGAAATGTAATACAGTACATTCAATACTAAAAGCTTTCTGTACTGGAAGGATGGTTATAGAAGAGAGTGGGTGTAGTAGAGGATATATGTTTTCAGTTTCTTCATGGTATATTTCATGAAACTGAAATATGATTTAACATTCTAAATAAACTGAATGAAAAAATACGTAAGTCTTGAAAATATTTTGATTGACAGATTTTCAGAGATTATTTTTTGAAATATTTTATTTTTCAGAATTTTTATAAATCTGAAATTAATAAGGAGGAAATGTATATCCGCTATATACACAAATTATGTGACATGCATCTGCAGGCTGAAAATTACACAGGTAAATATGGGAGAAAGTTTTATTTATATATTTACAGTGGTACTTTTTAAAATATGTATCTTTAAATTTTCATAAAACTTTTAACTATATATTTATAATTTAAACATTAATCGGTTGTGTGAGCATGCAGTAAGTAACATATGCATGTTGTTTTCAAGTGGTGACACAATATATTTGGAAGACATTCTGCATTTTTGTAAGCAGGTTGGAACTAATTCTCCACTATTGGTTTACATTACCAATGTCTCTGCATAAATACCTAGATTAGCAATTAGCAATTTGAGGTGCACTTAAGCACTAGCTGGAGAGTTTCAGCTAATTTATTTTAATTGCATGCATTTAGTATATTAGGTGATTGTAGAGCACAACTCGTGCATATAGTATATTAGTTGTTCGTAGAGCATAATTCAAAGCGCACTGACGATGTCTCCTCGAATGGTGATGAAATGTTTGCAACCAAATTGCCAGGCCCGGAGCTCAAACCAACAGCCTAACTACCAACCTGAGCTACTAATATTCAAACACATTTCATATAGTATATTTTTTTACCATGTCCACATTATTTTCATTGATATTATCTAAAGTCCAAATAAGACTAATTAATTGTATGCCTTTAAACAACCTACAATATACATATATATATATGAAAGGCAACCACTCTGTGCTGCAATTTGGGAGACTCAAATAGCTATTTCTGCCTTATAAGGTGTCATCAGTGAGCCACACCCACTTTTCAAGTATCCTAGGGAGGATACTTGAGAAGAGGGTGTGGCTCACTGATGACGCCTTATAAGGCAGAAATAGCTATTTGAGTCTCCCAAATTGCAGCACAGAGTGGTTGCTTTTCAGCAGGATACAAAAAGCCCAGAAACTTGTGAATGAGATTTCACAGAACTAGGGCTGTGGAACAACTTAGTTTACGTAGGTGGAACCTGGCTAGAAAGAATATGCATATATATATGTGTGTGTGTGTGTGTGTTTTCTGATATATATATATATATATATATATATATATATATATTTATATATATTTATATATATTTATATATATATGTATATATATATATATTATATATATATTTTCTCAGGTTTTCGCGGGTGTTTGTATGTAGGTCTTTGGTTATTCGGTCTTCTCCCACGTAAAATTTTACGTGGGAGAAGACCCGAATAACCAAAGACCTCTACATTATATATATATTATATATATATAATATATATTTATATATATATATAAAATATCGTGTATCAATTCATTTGTCTTTACTTCAGCATAACATGATTAAATATTCACTTTCCTTTTACTAGCAAAATGCCTTTTTATCTGATTCATTTAGGATTTTCATAATTTTTTAGTTTATCTATTTGCATATTCATATAAGTTGAAATGTTTTGATATTGTTATGCAATGTTCATTGCTTGTTGTTTTGACAGAGGCTGCTTTTACATTACTTTTGTATTGCGAGCTACTACAATGGGAGGACAGGCCTCTTCGGGAATTCCTCCACTATCCATCTCAGACAGAGTGGCAACGTAAAGAAAATCTTTGTCGGAAGATTATTCATTATTTTAATAAAGGCAAGGTCAGCAAATGTTATTAATAATTATTTTCAAATTTTATTAGATATTCTTTTCTAAAGTCAGAACTAAATGTTTTATTGGACTGGAGCAGTGTTTCCCAAACTTTTGATATATGTGTACCCCTTCTATAATTTTCGTAACGCTGAGTACCCCTCATAAAAAACATATGGTACCCCTGGGGGTATGCGTACCACACTTTGGGAAACACTTAGATAACACTGCAATTCTCCGGGGTTTAAGCAGCTCCGCGGCTCAACATCAACTGTTAATGTTCCCGCAGTTTAAAAATGGCTGAACCCGAGCTGCGCAAAGGATGCGCAGAAGTTCCCGCCATAATGAGTTGCGATACGATGTACGATGGCCCCAGTTCCCGTGTAAAAACTGCGATATGCGCCTATTTCTTTCCTTGTTCTGTGGGCGCAGCTAAGCACGGTGCAGTGGATATTCCCACGTGATCCCCACCAAACTCCGGTGCAACGCGTACCCGCACCAAACTCTTCTCGTACCCCTGGGGGTACGCGTACCACACTTTGGGAAACACTGGATTGGAGGATACTCAGATATATTTACTTGTCAGGAGAATCATAAATCCATTGAATTATAGTGTATGGCCATTTAGGCTTTCAAATCTAGTCTCCTGATTGTTACAGGTTTCCAATTTAAGCATTTTGACAATTAATTGCTCAGTTTCTATATAAATATAGAATATATCAATATCCACTAAAGGGAAACCAATCCACTTACTTAGAATTAGTTCTAATTGTCAAAGTGCTCTCACTATTTAGGAAATTTTTTGTAATGTTTAATTAGAATCTGTAACTTAAATCATTATTCCATATTCTCCAGTCTTGGCAAACAAGTCTTGATATTTTTTTACATTTCTTTAATATGCTTAAAGAATGCTATCATTTTTGGCAGCAGCAATATAGTGAGCTGAATGATATTTTTATTTATTTATTAAATTTCTATACTACCTATCTCCCTTATGAGGTGATTCTCGGCAGCTTGTTTATAATCAGCTACAATTCTAATATATTTTTTCCAAGTGACTACTGCTAAGTCCCCATTCAGTGAATGAATATTTGATTTTTATTTTGTAAGTAAATAACTTTATACCATGTTTCCCCGAAAATAAGACCCTGTCTTATATTTTTTGAACCCTGAAATAAGCACTTGACCTTATTTTCGGGGAGGTCTTATTATTTTGGGGTGTGTGGAGCAAGATGGGGCTTCTCTTGCCGTCTTACCTGATTTCCAGCTCTGTGTTTAAATATTTTCAGGAAGGGCTTATTTTCGGGGGGAAGGCTTATTTTAGTGCATGCACTCAAAAGCCCAATTGGGCTTATTATCAGGGGATGTCTTATTTTCAAGGAAACAGGGTATTTGTCTTTCAAATTTCTTCAAACTCAAGCAATGATATACTGGGAAATTTTATCCTATATGATATTTTAAAATCCTTTGTTTGCTATTTTTTATTTTATTTTTTCATCCTTATTTGTTCTGCATTTTCAATGTCTAATAATTTTTTTTTTTTTAAATCTTATTCTCAGCCCATTTTTCTAATTCATCAACATTGATTTGAATTTTATTTCTATCTTCTAATTACCTTACCCAATTTTGTGTTAACTGCAGATTTCATAATTGTTTGATAATTAGTCAATCCAGGTTATTTAAAAATATCAAACTGTATTTATTTTAAATGTATATGATAAATCCTTGTGGTTGTTTTTAGCAATTTTTGTGAATGTTCTGACATCATGTGTACAATCCCAGGCCATTTAAACATACCCTTCCTTGATGTAGTCACTAGAGATTTCCCTCTCTCTCTTCTCTCTCTCCCCCTCCCTCCCTCTTTCTTCCTTCCCCCCCCTCCTCTTTTTCTTTTTCTTTTTTGCCATTTTGGGGAATGAGTAGTCTGTTCTAAAATAAACACATACAACTGCAGCTCATTCTTCCCAGCCCTATAACTGGATGGCATATTTGTGAGCTGTGAAAAAGTGCTTTCTGGATCTGCCCTAATGCATCCTACTCCCTAGTAGCATATTCATTTTTCCTTTTTATTTAGTTTTACTTAAAATATTAATATTACATTCCTTTAGATATGTTAACAGTTTCATAAAATCAATATTCCCTGAGATTGACATTTCTTGGGATAAGTGTTGCAAACTGATGAACAAGTAGCAGCAAGCTTCTGATCGGTATATTGACCTGTATTGCAATCTGAGCTTCTAGGACAGGAGTCCCCAAATTTGGCAGCTTTAAGACTTGTGGACTTCAACTCCCAGAATTCTACAGCTGGAGAATTCTGGGAGTTGAAGTCCACAAGTTTTAAAGCTGCCAAGTTTGAAGACCTCTAAGAGGTCAATATTCACATTCCAAAAGAAAAGGAAAAAGATATGTAGAAGCTAAGAACTTAGCCTTTTTTATAAGCATTCCCACTGAGGCACAGTATTATATACTTTTGCTGGAATAAGAGGAAAAGCACCACTTTCATGGTGGAATGCCTAAAATTCAGGCCGTCTTAGCAGTGGATTAGATAGAGGCAAAATCATGTTCCTTAAAAATGGTTAGTAATAAGTGAACATATGGGTGAGCTTTACAATTACTGGTATTTGTTTTTTGTCCATACATTTATGAGGCACCACAAGACAAATATACTTCTGCAAATGCTGCTTTTAGTAGAACTGTGTTACACAAGATTTTGTGGAAATGGGTCTAATTTTTACCAGAATTTCTCAGCTCTATTACTTTTTTACATTCCAAAAGCTACGCTAATCAGGTTGTACAAATTGTTTCAAAGAACTGTTTCATAATGTGCATCTTTCTTGTGTAATCAGTGAAGCCAAACTATTTTCCAGATCACTCATATATTTTTAAATTTATTTTTATTGATTTGTAAACTAATGACAAAAAACAATACAGTGACAACAAAAGACACATAAAAATTTCTTTATAAAAGTGAAAAACAAAATGCATATTATTTTGGCAGTAAATAGTTACAATTCTATATGTAGTAATCTATGTAATCTAATTAGGTACATTAGATATGTAATTTAATGCAATTATTGAGGGGCCTTTAGAGCTCTGAATTTGGTTGTTTTCTTACAGATGTTTTATTACCCAAATTAGGTAACATCATCAGTGGAGTGCCATTGATGATGTTACCTAGTTTGGGTAATAAAATGTCTTTCAGATGGTCTAGATTAACAGAGTTGGAAGGCACCTTGCAGGTCATCTAGTCTAACCCCCCTGCCCAAGCAGGAGACCTTACATCTGCTTCTACCTAGGATTGAACTCACAACCTCCTTATTGTGAGGCAAGAGCTCCACCTCTAGGCCACAGATCTGCAAGAAAGCAACCAAGCTCAGAGAGCCTCAAGGACCCATCATTTCAACTCTGAGCTACTTAATTCTCCTTTATTAATGCAATTATTATCCAAGTGCATTTTCTAATAACAAGTACAGTTTCTAATATATTTATGTAACCACCATGTTTTAATATACTGTATTTTGTCTAAATTACTTCTGTATTTAATTATATATTTCTATACACAAGCTCACACATAAATGTACATGCACAATTACAATTATTTTTCACCAGCAAAGCACTCATTAATAGTCTATTAAGAATAGTTTATGAAGCAGTCATGCCATCTTGAAAAAAAGTGTAACTGTTTTAACAATGCAACTGTTTTAATGATGGAAAATGCTATTTAAACATTCCCAACTTTCAAAAAAAGCTCTTTTCAAATATTTGTTTTGAACTATTAAATAATTATAGATTTTGCATTTCTGCTAACAGACCCTATATCTGTTTAAAACTGTGTTAGGAAAATAGTGCTCAATTTAAGAAAGCTTCAAGTTACAGTAATTCAGTCAAAGAAACATCTGCTTTTCCCTCCTGAAATAAGAAACATGTGCCATTACAATCCAGGTTTGAATCATTGTGTACACATACACACAATATTCTTTCTTCCCGAGAAGGCAAATAGGGTAATGTTTGAGTAAATATTTATATACAACAAGAAATGGAAACATAGAATTTAGATTCATTTGTGCATTCTTTCCTATATTTTCTTGCAGAATTGTCGTATTGAGCCTACCCTATACTTTAATATCTGCTGTTATTCAGAGTTAGGTATTGTTTTGATAAACATTTTTTAATTTGGGATGGTATTTTTTTGTCCAACTCAACTAATCTTTCTGTTGGCCAGAGCAGAGAAATCCCAGAGTCTATACCTCTGACTGGATAACAAGTAATAAAGGAGCTCATTAAGAATTGTTAAATGTTCACTTATTTTTCTTGTCTCCATTCATTATCATAGGATACATTACTAAGGGTTACTTACTTAACTTTAATTAGATATTTTTTGTGTATAAAATCCTATTTCATCTCAGTTTTTAATCTTTCCTTTAGAGCTGGGAATTTGGAATCCCATTATGCAGAGACCTGGCTACTCAGTATGAAACATTATATGATTATCAAAGTCTCAGCTGGATTCGGGTGAGTGATGTTCATCTTTCCTGCAGGACATATTTTGCCAATTGGAAATGTACAGGCAGTCCTTGGTTAATACCACTTGTTCAGTGATCATTCAAAGTTACAATGGTGCTGAACAAGTGGTGGCTATGACTGGTCCTCAGAGTATCAGCCAACCCTGATTGCAGTCACATGATCATGATCTGAGTGCTTGGCAACCAGCTTGCACTTACAATGGTTGCAGCATCCTACAATCACGTCATTGTGATTTGCAACCTTCCCTGTGGGCTTCCCATAAGCAAAGTCAATGGGGAAGCCAGATGGGAAGGCTGCAAGTTGCTCAGATAAGTCTTACCTACTTACACACCTTACTTCAGTACCTTTGTTCTCACTGATATGCTGTGCCTCAGCAACCACCTGGACATCCCCCCTACTACTGCCCCAAGCCCCATCATATTCATGCTGTACTTCTCTGGATACCCACACATCTTCTTGCTCCCTCTCCCACCTGGCAGCAGCCACTTACTTGCCTGCTGGCTTTCTTGTAAGCCACTTGGGACTTGCAACTTGCAAGACCAATGCCAGCTTCCCCACTGACTTTGGTTATTGGAAACCATAGGAAGTTGGAAGAAGTCGCTTTCTTAATGACTCACAATCCTCACTTCACAACAGCAAGGATTGCTGTTGCTAAATGTGATGTTGCACTTTACATAACTGCGTCACACAATAAAAATTCTGGTTGCCATCATAACTGAAGGATTACCTGTACCATTCTTAGCAAGTAAATAAAACACTTTATAATATACTTTTACTGTGTATATTAGAATGGCTCCATTTACTAAGTTTTAATTAAAAAGAAAAGCAGCCACTAAAATAAAACATTCAAATATTAGTCACTTCTGGACTTTAAACATGGTCTAATCAAGATGTTAGCCCAACTTTTGTACCTCTTTTCCCTTATTTAGTTTATTGAATGTACTGTAGATTATGGCATCCAAAATACCGTGTTTTTCCAAAAATAAGACCCTGTCTTATATTTTTTTGAACCCTGAAATAAGTGCTTGGCCTTAAAGCCTGATTGAGTTTATTATCAGGGAATGTCTTATTTTGGGGGAAACGGGGTAGATTTCCCACATTTTTCTAAATTTGAGATCTCTTTATCATCTCTTTCATTTTTTTCTTTGACAAAAATCTATATTTTACTAAAATGAATATAGAAATCCATGCATTCAGTCTATATATGATATAGTTATTCAAATGGAAATCACAGTGATTTGAATTTAATATTATACAAATGAAAACAATTATATTTTTTAATCCTCAAATCAACACTCTTTAGCCTGCAGACTGCTCTTTTTAAAATTCATTGAAGATAAAGGAATAAAAATAAAAAGAATATTTTCAAATTTGTACATATGTTTATGTATTTCTACATATATTGCAAGTCTATGTGAGGAATCAGTTTTGATTTTTAGTTGAATCTTTGAGAACTTTTCATAACACTTTGTTTAATCAATAGTCAGTATATATGCTTAATACTAAAAGTTGCTCAGACATTCAATCACTTCTGAATCTTCATGACCCGATTAACTCAATTTTGCCAAAATTGTCTATTGTCAACTGTTCATTGAGTTCTTATAATTTTAAGTTTCCATAGAAAGCACAGTGTAAAAATAATTATTGTATTCTATACAAATACTAAAAATAATTATGCATAAAATCTTCCCTATGAAAAATTGATATCTCTGTAAAGTTATCTTGAATATGTGTTTCATAATGGTATGATACTTTAAATTTTCAAAAACCATGTGTTAATGGTTTCAGATACCATAGTGTTACTACATAGGGTCTAGGACAACTCGCCACAATCAACTCACTGCAGCCATCTTACTATGGCCAACTCGTCACAGAATAACTCGTTGCCACCAACTTGCCACGAGATAACTCGCTGCGGAACAATTCCACTCAGGATAACTCAATGTGATAAATGTTATCCACCACTGTTTCTTCAACATTATTTGTGTTTTTGTCAAAATGGCCACGGCGAGTTATCCATGGCAAAATGGCCAAGCAAAATTGGCAGCGGTGAGATGGCCATGATGAGATGACCACAGCGAGTTGGCTGTGGCAAGTTGTCCCATTCAAGAATGCTGTCAGCATTTTTTTCCTAAAAGTACAGCATTTCAGTCCAGTATAATTTTTTTTTCTATCTTTAGAAAATGGAAGCTAACTATTATGACAATATAATGGAACAACAACGGTTGGAACCTGAATTTTTCAGAGTTGGCTTTTATGGAAGAAAATTTCCTTTCTTCCTTCGTGTAAGTACATTTAACATATCCATTACTGTATGAATGCAGTGCTATTTATAATGAAGATGATTTGTGTATTTGAAGGAAATTAAAATTGTTTTAAAATATGGATTTATCTAGAAAATTATACATTTGATTGATTCATCCACAATATTGATGTTGTTTCTGTCAATCAGGTTATTGTCCCTATTTTGCCAATTTTAACATTTAATGTAGTTTTGTAGCTGGAATGTATATGTATTCCTACTGGCTTTTTCATTATTTATAAACATGATTGAGTTTTTTTCATGTAAAATATTATATGTACAATAAATCTTCTGCATTTGAAATTTCAAAAAAGTCATTCTACAGTTTAATAGAGTAAACCAAGTAGTATTAATTCAAATGAGACTTAGATTCACAGAAGAATAGAATCAGTTTGAAAGAACTTTTAGGATATGAATTCTAATTTCCCACTCAGTATAGGAATTCAAGATGAAGAATCCCAGACAAATGAATGTCTAGCTTCTAGTTGAACAGATCCAGTGAAAGCCCACTACCTCTCTGGTTAATTGGTACCTGATCAAATTGCTCTTACAGGTATGAAGTTTTTCCTAATATTAATTGGGAATTAATTCCTAAAATTAATTGCCTTCTTTTAACTTACATTCTTTGCTGTGTCCTGCATTCTGGAAGAAGAAGAAACAGATTTTGAAGTTGTTTGTGATTGTCACCCAGAGTGATATTCAAACATGAAGCTAGCAAGCAGAGTTTCAAGGCTGTAGCTCTTAGATAAATAAGCTTTATTACACTTATTAGAAAAGTTGTAATTCAATAAATTAAATTACACGTCAAGCTGTGGAAATGTGTTGAGAATTTGAGAACATCTCCTTATAACAAATTTATATAAAGGCCAGGCAGCCACAGTATAAGAGAAAATGATGAAACACTGGAGCCAGGTTGGTAAAGGAGTACAACAAGGCTGCACAGGCTGAGCTCTCCTCTTTATTCAATCTATATATTAAGGGAAGCTAGATTGGAAGCATGGTTTTAAAATTGGAGGAAGAAACATAATAATCTGTGCTATGCTGACTATATTACCCTGAAAACTTAAAATGCAAACAATCTCCAAGCCCTATAAAACACAGTGAAAAAGGGACTAAAATTAAATATAAGAAAGACCAAATTAATGGCAACAGATAAAACAACCAGTTAGAATTTTTCTAACAGTTGTGCAGATAAAAACTAATACAAGTTATAAAAAAAAGAAAAAAATACAAAGTGCAGAAAAGAAAAAAGAAGCATATAAAAGAAAGAATATAGAAGAAAGAAAAATACAACTATAACCAAAAAAGAAATATAAAGAAGCAACTTCTCTCTTAGTCATTTTAAAAATCCACATTCAATTCTACTTCAGTCTTATCTGATAGAACATATTAGAATTTGTCTATGATGGCAGACATTTTTAAAATTATGAGTCAATTATTCATATATCCTTCAATACATTCAGTGTTATAAGGTATTTGGCTCCATTCTGTATTAACAAGTCAAATAGATTTTACTTCTCCTTTAATCGTAATCTTTACTTTGTTTTAGCTCCCTCTAGTGTCCAGCCTCAAAATCCCATACTATCATGTTTGATTTTTTAGAATTCAAAACATAGGTCATTTTCCCATAGGGAAGATTTATTCAATTAATTTCAAAAAAACCTATTTAAAGTCCATCTTATATGCGCAATTAATTTTCTCAAAGGGCCACATGACAAATTGGGACTGTTGTGGAGGACCAAACCAATAGGGCTGTGAAAGTAGTAGGCATGCACACAGACAAATATGTAAATTGATTAAAAAAATAGTCTGCTTTGAAATAAAAGCAATGCAATTGTATTACATGCAAGGTGTACACTTAATTACATTTAAGTTGTAATTTCCAGTTGACCTCACATGGATTGGATAGGGACAGGCAAAGGGCTGGATGTGGGTTGGGGCCGTAAAATGCCCAGGTCTGATCTAGACCCTTAGTCCATTTACATCTTTCCTAAAATAATGCTCTAATCACCTTTTTTCCTATCTGTTTGCCCAAATTGTGAAATCTTTCAAGCTCCAATTAAAATTTCTTAAAGATTGAAGGAATCCCAGTGAATGCCATCAAACTTGATGCTCTGATATCTCTTAATATTTTAAAAACAGTAAAAAAGTTGTTCCGAAAGTGATTAGGAAATCAGCCAACCTTTATGTCCACACAGGCTACATTACAGTTGTGGGCAGAGATGGGATCTCTCCGCTCATCACCCAATTGCAAAAATTCTTGCAATTTACTCTTTTAAGAGTGGCTGTCTGGAGTATATGTGGTTAATTCCCCAATCTCTCCTTTCTCCAAAGAGATTTCACTGGCTAGAATCCATCCTATGGCCACTAATTTCAGCCGTAATGCCATCCCCATAGCTTCAGGGATATCTAGATTCCCATCTCCTCACTGAATGGTCTAACAATCAGCTTTAGAATTGACAATGAAGATGGTGAAATGGTCAATAGCTTCTATCTTTTAGCATCAACTATCAACAGTAAAGGAACAAGAAATATGCTGCATACTAGCACTTGGTAGAACAGCCATGAAAATCTAGGAAACGATATTCAAATGCCTTGATGTGTCTATACCTACAAAGATCACAATTATGCAAGCCATTGTATTCCCTTATACATTCCACAAAAGTGAAAGTTGAGCTTTGAAAAAGCAAGATAGGGAGACTATTGACGTTTTTGAATTTTGATGTTGGAAAAGATTGCTGAGAATATTGTGGATAGCCTAGAAAACAAACTGATGGATCATTGAACAAATCAAATGAAATCAAAATACTCATTCAAGATACAAATAACTAGACTCAAATTACTCTACTTCAGACACATTATGTGAAGACTCAAGTCTCTGCTATAGGATCTAATTCTGGGCAAAGCAGAAGAAAAGAGAAGAGGATAATCAGCAGCAAGGTGGATGGAGTCAGTTATAGAGGTGATACATGCACCTTTGGGATACATGAAAGAACAGATTAAGCATCATCTTGGAAAAAAATCTGTATGGTTGCTGGGAGTCAGAAACAGCTTGATGGCACATAATAAATTAAATTAATATATATAGTCACAAGAAGTAAATCTTGACTTGTTTTCTATTGGCTCAGAATGCAGGATACAGAATAATGAATTTAAATTTCAAGAGTTTTTTTGAATATTAGAAAAAATGCTAACTGTAACAGCAGGTAAACTACAGGACTATTTATCTAAGACATTGTGAGTTCACTTTTACTGGAACTCTTCAAGCAGAGTGGACAGACATTTGTCAAGGATGTTTTTGATTCCTGTCTTAAACTGTAGTTTGCATTGGATGGTCTAAGCATTCCCTCCAACTGCATGATTTTATTATTCTATAAAATCTTCAGATGGATTTTACTGAAGGAGGGTTCCAGTTCATTTATGACCTGATAGCCCCAATGACAACCATGGAGGTGTCACAAGTAATAGTGTTCACAACACATGTGGGAAGACACATGCTAGAGACGGTCTTTAATTTAGAGAAGACGAAATGTGATCTGAAAATAAGTAACACTGATACCTTTCCTTTGCCATAGTCAAACCAGTTCCTTGTTAAACTGAGGGTAATGGACACCTGAACTTTGCATGAACAACAGGCCTTTGGTAGTTTCCTTACAATTTGGTGGGCAGTTCTATTTTATGTCCTCTGAATCTCTGGAATTCAGACATTGAAAAGATGCTGGATATGATTGTCCACATTTGGCCACTTCATAATCATAGCCCCTGAGATAAAATGACTAAAAACATATTTAGAGTGACAGTAATGGAAAACCAGATATGAATATGACCAAGCTTTTGTTAAAGCTCATTTTCAAGAAAGGAAGCATCTGGGATTATTATTATTATTATTGAAATTGTAGATTCTCACTACATGTTGGCCAAACTCATGCTACTCCTAGTTCCTTTTGGTGATTAGTGGGTGTGAGTGGTTGAATCCAGGATATCAGCCATTCTTGCTTTGAGGGAAGACTTGAAGACACAGCTTTGAACAAGGAGGTGGTCACCTTCTGAAGAAGCTTTTCCTGAACAAATTTTACTTTGTCTCCAACCTTCTCTTTTTATGAAAGATTGTTGGGAACAATGTGGGAAATCAGCTATGTTGTTGTTAAATAAATAATAAATAAATAAATAATTTTATTTCTATACCCCCCTTCTCCCGAAGGACTCAGGGCGGTGTACAGCCTATTAAAAGCACAAAACAAACATCAATTAAAATTATTTAAAATTATTAAATAATTCGGCTCAATTTAAAACCCCAGAAATTTAAAACACCCAATTTAAAATTATTATGTTGATAGCCCGGCCTGGCGGAACAACAGGGTCTTGAGTGCACAGCGAAATACCCGGAGGTCGGAGATCTTACGCATTTCCGGGGGCAGTTCATTCCACAGGGCTGGGGCTCCCACAGAGAAGGCCCTCCCCCTGGGTGTCGCCAGCTGACATAACTTGGCCGATGGCACCCTGAGGAGACCCTCTCTGTGAGAGCGAACTGGCCGGTGGGAGGCTATTGGTGGCAGAAGTTGGTCTCGAAGGTACCCGGGTCCTATGCCATGGAGTGCTTTAAAGGTGGTGACCAACACCTTGAATCGCATCCGGAAGACCAGTGGGAGCCAGTGCAGCTTGCGCAGGAGGGGTGTCACATGGTCACAATGAGTTGCGCCCATAACCACCCACGCGGCCGCATTCTGGACCAGTTGGAGCCTCCGAGTGCTCTTCAAGGGGAGCCCCATGTAGAGAGCATTACAATAGTCCAGCCAGGAGGTGACAAGGGCGTGAGTGACCGTGCGCAAGGCGTCCCGGTCCAGAAAGGGCTGCAATTGGCGAATCAGGCGAACCTGATAAAAGGCCCCCCTGGCCACGGCCATCATATGTTCTTCTAAAGACAGCTGTGTGTCCAGGAGGACACCAAGATTGCGAGACCTCTCTGTGGGGGGCAAAGATTCA